GCGAGGGGTGTTCAGATGGTCCTGTCACTGGTTTGTTGCCCTGCACCGTACCTTTGAGTGATGCAAGCATGCATAGCTGATAGAATATTCTCAGCTTGAGCTATAAGGCAGCCTGATTAAAAAAACAAAACAAAACCCCCAAGCCATTATTTGTTTAAATAGCTAGTCTGTAGATTTCAGAGATACTGGAGAGATTATGAGAAAAGAAATCACACCTAAATTAGAGGGGAGGAGTGCAAAGCTACATCTTCCCATACACATAAAGGCATAACCAGTTTGATAACTTGTTCTAACTTGACATAATTGGGAACAGTCAGGCTGCAGACTCATAGAAAGAAGCCATTCCCTTTCTAGTACTGCCAAACTCTTAATGGAATAAACTGCATCTGAGGAATACAGAAACCCAAGTTTTAGAAACTGTAACTATCAAATACTGTCATGGACAACTTAAAGTTAAGTCATGTATTAGGGGAGAAAATGCAATGCATGCTACAAAAAAAAAATATTAAATCATTCTATTTATCTGTCAGGATGATCTTTTCAACTTGCTGATCTTTATGCCTAGGAAGGAAAGAAGGAAGGGTTTTTTTTTTTTTCTTCCCCAACTCATATTAAAATACAAAAGGCTTTTCTCCTTTTTTTTTTTTTTTCTAGTATAGTGTCAATTGCCTGTAATGATTGTTTTGATGAGGGATCCTGAAAAATACATCAATGAGTAGCCACTACATGTAAACACTCTCTACTTGATTATATATTTGGGAAAACTGAGTACCATGAGTTTGCTGTGGTTGCACATGTGACGAGAGCAAAAAGGTATTTCAGACTCATCATCTTAGATGATGATTTTTGGTGGAGTCAGCTTAGGAGAGCAAGCGTAACCATTTGTTTCATTCATCATCTACTCTATATACTATATGTGGCTACTTAGTGTAGCTGGTTATGATTGCTTAGTCATTAACTAATTCTGAGAAAGGAAAAGAATATGTTCTAAATAGAAAGAAGAATACTTTCTAAAATGTAAAATAATTATAGTACAATTGTGACATACTTGGCTTTTTAGCAGAGTTGAAGTGGAGATGAATTGAGCTCTGTGGGTGTAATTCTGAAGAATCCCAAGTCCTGTTTTTCAAAGGTGCCTTGCTCCACTGTCTCCTCCAATTTGGAGTACTTGGTTTTACACATACTCTCTCATTTTCAAAGGCATCTCACTCCTACTGACGACGAGACTGAGGTGGAGAGGAGTTGAAATCCAATTATATAGGAGGAGAAAAACATTACCCAATTCTCTCCATTTTTTTTGGTGTATAAAACAGTTGTTTTCCCTGTAAAAGTGGCATTTGGGAATACTGACACAATGCTCACTATGAGACAAAATGTTTTCTCATTAGTATAGTGGTGAATATGATTAGGCCTTTAAGATGACAGTATCGTTCTTTTGAATGCTCACAGAGCAAGCGTGTTTTTTATTGCTTCCTATTACACAGAACAGATTCTTTAGTCAGAGTATGTAATACCACCTTGTATCAACTTTTACATGGCAGACAAACTACTGTGCAATAACATAGATAGTTCCCTTTTGTTTTTAAAAAGGAAATCTTTGCTGCTGTTAAATTACTAGGAAAATGCACTCATCTCATGTGCTGTCACAAGCAGTAGGTAGCTGCTAAAGAGAAAATGTGGGTGTAGTCAAGGCTTCTGCTCATCCAGGTACTATCGTATGACATTATAGCAGAATTGATGTACGTTTTGTGGATTACTGTTCTTAGCGAAAGTGAGGAGCATCATGAGGTTTTTATCAAGAAACAGCAGGAAAAATATTTTACACTAGCATAAAGCTTTTTACAAATTGGCTTTCTCTGCCTGAAATAAAATTTGAGAAAACAGCTCTGCATTCTGAGAACTTAACATATGTTAGCCAAGAAGAACAGGAGAGTCTTAATACTGTTACGAAAAATAATGCCTCAGTAGACATACTTTTCAGGATATTGTAAAAATCATTCTAGTGATATTTTGCTGAAGTCATGATGGCTTAAAGACAAAGGCAGGATGAGGTTTAGGAGTGCAGTGGGCTTTGCAGTCATCATAATTCACGCTTTTTTCCCCCCTCTAATCTGTGAAAATATTGTTAAGACTCTTAGTGGTATTTATTTGAGTTTTCAGATCTAGGCATGCCAGAAAGATAAGTCTTCTATTTCAATGTATATATTGCCCGCTGTCAGATTAAACCAAAATCCACTATTGGACATTATAAGGTTAGGTAACTTTGTGGTATTTCCTGAAGTGTAAGTGACTGTTCATTTTAGAGGATATTTTATTGTCATTCAAAAGGTAAGTCTACACATTGTGATTGTCACCATGGGCAACTGGACAATTATTAATCATTGAATAAGTCTAGGAAGTAAAAATTCTAATTACTGTAGCCTTGCAATCTGCCAATCTGCTGTTTTTCCTCTTTGACTTGAGACATTGAAGATTTGTATGGTCAGTGACTGGTAAAAACGGAGTCAAATCCAATTATATATGGGACTTAAGAACATTGGTTCTGGGGCAGAAGAGAAGCCATAAAGCATTTTTATTTTTTTAAGGTTAAAAAAAAAAAAAGTCCTAATATGGGAAAATTGATTAAGACTAATGCAGGTTTTATAATACATCTTTAGACTGTTCCAGATGTGATTTCAGTTAAACTGTAAACAGTTTTATGTCAGTCTGCGTCCTTTGACTGAAGAAAGTATTTTGGAGTGATTCCATCTGAATTATTGCCAGGATAATGGTTACAGTGGGTTGGTTAGCCAGAAACTCCAAATAACTATGAAGAAAAAATACATATTGTAAGCCAAGATAGATAACTTATTCCAGAGGCCCCTGTTCATGTTGCTGCTGGTGGGAGTAGCAGGTGTTCCCGGGCAGTTTCTAGTTTGTTCTTAGTAGTAGGAGAGCTTGGAGCAGGAGGAAGAGACAGCTCGCTGTGCTCTGAAACCCAGGAAATCCAGAGCAATAAACATCTTGCTTTCAGTTGGGAAACTATGTTATCTACCACTGATTTAAAAAGTCACAGTTGCGGTGCTTTTCTTAAAATGGACATCAGAGGAAAGTGAGAGAAAAGATCTTCAAGCGCAATATCCTGCGTTGCTTAGGGAAATAGCTTAAGAAATGTTCACGTACTCAGAAGCAGTTCTACTAGCATTTACTTTTTTCAGCTATTTAGGGATTCTGGTGAACCTATAGAGCTTTATTCATCAGTCTATTAGAAATTTGCTAGGAAAGTTTATAAATTCTTGAGTTATTTTTATGCCTCCCCCCTCTGGCTGCCAAGATACAAGTATATGCACTAAAAAAAGAAGTGAAAAACTTTCCAAGGAACCTTTGATAATTTCCTTCTATAGGAATTCTTCCTCCAGGTAGGATTAGGAAGTTTAGAGTTGGTGGCTAGACATTGGCTAGGTAAGCTGATATTGTTGGAGTTTCATCACATAGTGATGAAAACAGTATTTTCCTACTAGGGAAGGATGTCTTCTGCACAAGTTCTGAGCCACCTGGACATGAGCTAGCAGTGAACTGAGCCTATGTAGCCAAACTTAATGAAAGGGCAAGACTGTGATACGTGGTTCTGCCTAGATGCGAAGTATTTTTGCATTATGCCAGTACCATGGACCAGCTACATACCATTCTGGTTTAGACAGAGGTGGCATCTAAAGCACCATCTGAGCACGGGCTGAAAAGAGTGTCCAAGATGTACTTGTGGTTTTGCTTCTCTTTAGCTCTCTCTGCTGAGCCTCTGTACTATGCTAGTTGTTCACAGTGTGTGTTTTCCTCTGACTGTTGTTGATTTAGTATAGGTGATCTTGTGGATGAAAACCATGTGCTCCTGCACAGAAACTGTAGCAGCCAAGTATCTCTGAACACTGTGTGGAGTGTCGGCCCTCTGTTGGGTAGATAGGTAGAAACCTTTCATCTATATCCTTAATTTTAAAACCTTACCCTGTGCTCTGCTTGAAAGGTTTTGTCTATAGCCCTTTTTTGTGGCTGTTTTTCTCTTCATTCACATTTGCACACCTTTTCCTGATGGGGAAAACAAGTATAACTGTTTTCTCTGTATCACTTAAGGCCTATTTGAGTACATAATTTAAACATATGCCTAAGGCTGTAGTTTTTATGATCTAATTCTGCAGTGTGTTTTCACTTCCTCTCTTGCATTGTCATTAGCAAGCACAAGGCTGCCCAGGGAGACAGATCGGCTCACTAGTCTGACTGAAAACCAATCCTACCAAAAAGAAACCAGAGCTAATCTGATATACCATGTAGCCATATGGCTGCCAGCATAAACATAGAAGTGTTTAAGGACAAGGTGAAGCGCTCTGAACTGGTGTCTTTGGTTTGAACTTTTTTTTTGTCCTCTGTTTTATTATTTCTGACTGTATTAGTTGGAGTAGCATGTGAAGGGTAACAGTATTTTTGGAGTGGCTTCCTATGCCTTCTGTGGCTAGGGAAAAACTGCGGGTTTAGTTTTCTTAACAGTTTCATAATCTCTACAAAACAATTGTTGTTTGACACTTCCCTTGGTCTTGAAAGCGTGGCACTACTGAAGTCAGTGAGGCTTCACCCAGGCGCATTGGTCTACCAGGTTTGCAGGCTCAGTTTTAGTTTGCCTCAAAAGGTGGGGTGGTAAAGAAAATGGATGCTTGTTTTCCTTCTGGAACCCAATGTCATTGCATATTATAGCTATAAGGAATCTTGCATTTTTTCCTTTCTCTTTAAATTGTGGCTATGCTGCTAATGAAATAATTACTGATATTTGCTGAAAATCTCCAGTGTATCATATAAATATATTCTAATTTGATTAAATTTTTAAATACAGTGTAAATTACAGAAAAGATTCAGAAGTCTAGTAATGAAGTACACTGACCTTGTTTTTATTTCTTTTTCTTTGCTGCCTTCTCTTAATGTGGCTGATGTATTTGTACTTCTCATCATCATCACTGCCAAATCTTTCCATCATCTAGAAAACCACCTAAGGTAAGTATTTTGTCGTCTTTTGCTTGTACATGCTTTAAAAATGTTGAACACTGCAGAAATGTCTGGAGTGTTCCATTAGTGGGTGACAAATACAGCTTTGATAAAGAAGCATACATTAAGAAAATCTATTTCTCATATGTCTAACTTAAAGACTTCATAATTCCAGAAGACTACATTTTAATCCAACTGACGTGCGATTCAATGCATGTGACTCGTTAAAGCTGAGACCAGGACAAGCCATGATTTTAATACATTCAGAAAAATCTTTGAAAGAGCAAGCAAGTATTGTGTATAAAACACGTTGCGTATAATTCTGCTTAGAAGGAATATCATCTTAAAAAGACGATAACATACATCTAGTAAAAAAACAAACGGTGGTTCTTTGTAATTGATGACCTTCAAGAATTAATAAGTCACGTGTGTAAGTGGCTAAAGCGCACCAGAAATCTCCTGGAGAAGATTCCCTGTGTTGTGTGCAATGCAGGGGAAAGGAAGGAAAATGTGCATTTTACATCTATTAGGACAGAGAAGGAGCCATGCCGAAAAATGCACAATCAGTACAAGGCTGGTAGCAATGATGAGGTAAAACGACTGTGTAAGCTACTTCTGTCAACATATGCAGAATAGTCTACTGGTATTTTGCTTCAGCAATTTAATGGTAGCCAAGTCCTTTCTGTTGGTGTTGGATGTCACTTTTTATAGCACAGAGCTGTGATTTGCCATGAATGAATTTTTACTTTACGTTATTTTATTTGAATTGTAGCTTCTGCAGGTGTAGCAGAGCATTTTATCGCAGGCCTTCTGGGAACAGAAATTGGGAAGGGTATGTGTGCATATGTATATATATACACACACGCACACATATGTGCACACACCTCTCCCAATTTCAAACTTCTGTGGGCGTGTGTGTGAAAAACAGCTGTCTGAATCGTAAGATAAAGTATTTCAATTTGCTTCAGTTAGTGTCAGAAGAAAAAAATCTTCTCAGTAAGTAATGTGCCTTATTCCTAGTAAGCAGAAAGGAATGGAACAAAATACTTTTTTACTTAAATTGAAATAATCATATTTGAAAAAATATGTAATTTGAAGTTAAGCAGGTGAAGATAAATACCACTGGTAAATCAATTCAGAGTACTATGCTGTACTAATATCTTTTTCCAGATGACTGAATCTGTTAAAGTGATTGAATAAGTTCTTAGCTTCTCTTTTTTTTTTTTTTTTTTTTTTTCAAAACAGTTAATTTTTTGGTTAATCTCAGCTGATATATCTAATGCAAAGGAGTATGATTGTTCAAAAATAAAAAAAACCCACACACCCAAACAACAAAATAATCCACCCAACACCCCCACCCCCCTTTTTTGGTTGTAATTTCACAGAAATATTTTTACAAGAGCCTTGCCTTTCTGTACCATCCCATTCATGTTTCCTTGTAGGCAGATAAAGTTATTCTTCATATTATTCAAAAGCTTAATTATGGTCTTGCATTTCTTCCACAAAAATAACAGCTGCATACTTGTGCGTGTATGCCACATAATTACTAGGTATAGTTAGATGATCATTAATATCCTTCAGCTGTAATGCAGACACTTAAGGTACTGTGTAAAATGTTAATCAGTTTGAGACAGGAGAAAGTTCTTACCATCAGTAGAAATATGCTCTGTGAGTGTATCACTACCTGATTTGAGACTTCGATATTTCTTGATTTATGCAGCTGTTAGGTACTGTGCATAGGTAATCTACTTCAAATGAAGACTTTAAAAAAAAAAAAAGGAATTTCAGAAGCATTGGAAGTTTTTTTTGCTTTATTTTTACTTTAATTTGGTCATCAGCCATATATGAACTGTGATCACAGTTCAGCTCAGTGGTGGCTCTGAAGCTGCGGTAGGAAAATTTATAGAAGAATATTAAGGGTTTTTTATTGTTTCTACAGGCGTCATTTTTTAGGTCGATATTCAGTGTATTACTAACCTTGGCCTTTTGTTCTAATTTTATGGCAAAGGTAAAACAGCTGTTCTGAGCTCAGATTTGTGAGCTGTGGCCTGGGCCACCTTCAGATTTTCTGTTCATAACTCTTTTTGTCTGTCATAGTCTTTGTGCTTTTCATACAGTGGATACCTGGCAAACAGTGACAAACTTTCTACATCACTTTCTTTAAGAGCTTCCATCTTCATCAGGCTTACCATTGTAGATTGTTTGCTGTTTCCTAATGCACGCTTACTTCCTTTAACAGTTGTAATAGAGATGTAGCAAAAGCTGTCTGATGAATGAAAACTTCCTTTCCTCAATTCTCCCTTCCTTTTCTTCTTAGCAGCCAGGTAGTTCTGTAAGTCTCGCCTCCTGTAAGCCTACGTGTCAGACTTTGCTCCGATTCATGCTAACGATATCTTCACCTCTGCAATGCAACTTTCTTCTGTAAAAATAAAATTTGATTAATTGGCCACTCATTGGTCAGGTGGAAACAGCTATTAAACAAGTGAACCATTCCTTTATAATATTGCATTGCTTCGCGCACAGTTTATGTTAAGGATTATGTTCAGTCTGGGTTAAGACGTTGCTAAATGCTGAAAGCCCCAGACTCTGCCTAGTCTATATTGAGGATTAGGCTTCAAAACAACAAATTATGAATGTGAAATTAGACTCCTTTTTAAACTAATTATGTCATAGGGCTTAATCAGGCAAGTACTTCATCCTGGATATGGTACTCATTACCTTTGAGTAGTTCACGTGGGTATGTGTAAGTCCTTAATATTATTAACTCCTCAAGGCATTGATTAGGGGCTTTAACAAAAATGAGTTATGTGGAATATTGTTTTGGCTGTTTAAAATATTAATGCTTCTTGGCTGTCTTTTCTGACTCTATATGAGAAATTATTGCTCTGTAGCAGTCAGTTGCGCTGTCTCTTCTAGTTTAAAATCTAGTGTCTCATTTTAAGCCATAGATGCAAGTGGACTTGAGGCAAAACTTCACAGATTTTTCACCAATATGGTGGATGCACAAGCCTGCACCATTGTTTTGCTGTGGAAGCCATAACCTCTCGTTAGTAAAATAGTAACAAACAGTTGTCTTAAACTGCTGTCGATGCTTGCTGGAGGAATATGAATCAAAGCCCTCAACCTTTTCTTTACTTTGTGCTTACCTGAGTAAGTCTTTTGCTTAATTTCTTAACAGTTATTAACAATCTGATCCTCTTTATAACCTAGAAATGACCTGTGTATGCCTGTTACCTAGGGTGATGTGTACACTCTAGGATGGCTCTAAATACAGTAGTACCAGGACCTAACACTTCCTGGCTAAGCAGTTGGACTCAGCTTGATTAACTTTCGCTGGTGGTTTTATGCAGCACCTGCTGAGAGGCTGTTGTTTCACTGCATAGTAGGAAATGGCTGGTGTGCTTAACAACAATCCAATTTAAGAGATGCTGAAAAGGTAATTTGACTGTAGAGTTATTGCAAGGGCTAGGGGAGGGGAAAATTGTTACCTTAAACTACAGCCTAATATTGGCAAGTGAAGTGCAGGAGTTGGGTGGTCTGGGCTGATGACAGCAAATTGAGAGAGAAGGTAAATCTTGTGCCTCCTAGCACACTTGAGCGAGACTCTTTCTATTTTGTAAGAGGAAGCTGAATAGCTGGAGAGAATATTTGGGTCTGTTAATCAATTTTGTTGATGTTGTAGGTGGCATCTTAAAAACAACTTACTCCAATACCATAATCACTTTGCCTTTGCTTTGCATCTGGTTAGAGGGAATGTATGACTTGAATAGGTTTGCATGTGATGGTGACTAGTATGATTTGGCGTGTTACTGGTGGCAATCACTCCTTTGGGTATCAAGAAGAGGGAGGAACTTCAAACACTGAGCAAGTCTGAGCTGGAATCATAAAGCACTGGATAGCGTACTTGACTACATTAAGTCAAGTATTATTAAGTAGTACTTAAGTACATTGGATAGTGTATTTAATTTTGCTTGAATGTGTTATCACAAAAGCAGTCTCTCGGCAATAGTTATAATTCCTACTTATTTGAAACAGTTTAAAAGTTCTTAAGCAAAAATTGATTTGTATGGCGTACAATGACAAGACAAAAGGAAAAGTTTGTATTTGCTGTGGCTTTAATAATTTTTCCTAATAGCATTTCTGCCTAGGAGATGGAGCTGTCTAGTATATCTATCTAGAAATATCAGAATGGGTAATGATGACACTTTGACATCTTGATTTTAGTGAATATTAAAGAAACTCCATCTAACCTTGCATGTTCTGAATACTGAGAGTATTCAGAAAATCTTATATGTGCAGAAGTGAGCAGCCTTTCAGCTATGTAAAGCACAAATAAGTCCTCCACATTAACTAGCACACACCCTCGCCCGTGCGCCCCTACCTCCAAACTACTGCTTACGCTCATGAATATTATATTACAATTGTTTAGGAATTGTAACTTTTAATATCCTGAATTCCGAAGTGGTCAAATTCTTTCTCATAACCTCACATTTTTATATTTTTGTGCTGTAATGTTTGTGAACTGAAGTGCTTATAATGAATATACAGTGAGTGCATAACTCAAGTTTATGTATTTATTTTTACTATGGGCACTAATTTACAACTGTGAAAGAGCTGCCATGGTGAGCATTTTCTGTTACTATTATTTGTAGCTCTATCTGTTACTTGACTATTTCTAGATGCATACTATGCAGCTTCTGAGCTTTTTATTACAACTGTAGCACCATTTAGACTGAAAATACTGTGCAATGTCAAAAACTAGTATAAGACATCTGGAAAAAGTACCTCTCAATCTCTTAACTCCCCTCGTAATTCCTGATCTGGAAATTATTACCCTAGTGTGGCATGTTCTTGGCGTGTTCTTTTGAGTAGATGTTCCTTTTAGATGTGAAGATGAAGTATCAACTACAGAATCTTGCAAAAATAGGATAATTTAAGGCTTGTTTGTTGGTGATTTCCGTTAAAATCCCAGAATAATTTTGAGGCCAGTTGTGAGAACTGACAAACTC